TCTGAATACATAAACCAAACGTTCTAATATTGTATCAAAACATCATAATCACTTTTTTTTAACACAAATAGTAAAAGAAGATAACTGATATTAAAATAAATCAAAATATCCTAATTAAATTCGCACCCTCTAAAAAATTGAAATCACTGAATTTGGCATGAACAAAAGTTTATTGAAACAAAAGAGATTATTGCTAAACTATTCTATTATTGAAACAAAAGAGATTATTGCTAAACTATGCTATGGATCTAAAGTTATGATCTATTCTTTTAACAAGGAAAGTGATTTCTAAATCAAACATTCCTGCCACAAAATTCCCTCTTGGAAACTTTCCAGTTGTGGCTCTAGGGGACAAACCCACCGTTTTGTACCGTTTTTCAGCAATAATTAGTGCATTAGGTTTTTTTTTTTTTTTTTTTTCTGTGGAGTTGATAAAATAATATGAATCATTATTTTACTAGTTTCAACAACACTATTATTAATAAAAGCATATTATTGGTCCACTGGGTTCAGCAATAGAAGTTGTTCTTTTGAACTTTTTCTCAAGTTTATTTATTGCGTTGTTTTTTTGTCTTTTACCCCAGTGTTCAATTGTTGCGGGCTTTGCAACAATCCCAAGATGTAAAACACTTTTATTATTCCTGCCATTTTTTTTGAAGAGTTCTTTGCGACTCCCGTCAAAAACATTCTTCCATTCTCTCTTAATCCGAATTTACTGAATTGACCTCTGATGTTTCATATTGGCTTGGTGTCCAATTCACTAAATGACAAATTTACCCTCGCAAAATTTTATATTTATATTTTCTTATAATTTCCCTTTTTTAATGATACTTATAAGTGTAAGTTTGGGCAGCTCGGCGCGGCCCGAGCCCAACGTCTCAAAGGATAATTTTAAAAGGGAGAAAGAGAGAAATAAGTAAAGATTTGAGATAAATTAAAATTAATAGGTTAATAATTTACATAAGTTAATAAATAGGTCATGTTACTGTTTTCGTTCATAACTTGTCTGGTTATGAACCATAACTTTATCCATAACTTATCTGATTATGAACCATAACTTGACAAGTTATGACCTATTAATTTCTATAACTAAAAATTAGTCTATATACTTTTTTAAACTTTTCATATTGGTATATTTTCTACTATTTTCCATTTTAAAAAAGGTCGACCTAGTCCGGCTCGACTTAAAATTTATAAGATATTTTAAAAAAATCTTTAAAAATATAATGTTTGGGCTGGCCCGACTCTAAAAGAGAGAGAGTCAGCCCAATCTGATTTTAAACTTAAAAAATTTAGGGTTAAGCTCGGCCCAGACCAACAGTAGTGAATCTCAGGCCGACTCGTTTAACATGACCTAAACTTATAGCTCTAATAATACTCAATTAGTCTTGATCCTCACCAAAACCAACCCCTTTGTACTAACGATTGGCCTATAGTGATTTGTCCATATAGTCTATACTTGTTTTTTTTTTTTTTTTTTTTTTTTTTTTTTTAAACAGTTTTTTTTTTTTTTTTTTTTTTTTTTTTTTTTTTTTTTTTTTTTGAAACGTAGTCTATATATTTTTATTGCATTACTCGGACAGATCTAGATAGAGACTATACTTGGATACCTTTATATTGCAGTGGAATTAACAAATAACAATTGTCCCAAGTCAAGATATGTCTTTATTTTTATATTACCAAGCTTAGAATCTTTTAAAGTTTTTTATTTTCTATAGTGATATATCCAAATGTATTAACCAAGGATAGACAGCTGTTTATGATCTCAAGATTAGGAATCGTTTATAAAATTTTAGGGGTAATTAAAGGTCAAACTAGTAGACAATAACGTGTGAAGTTTTTGTGCATTTTTTTTTTTCAAGGATGTTTTTGTGCATCTTGGTGTGCCTGAGTATCAGCAAAATGTCAAAATCAGGAATAGAAAATGGCAAGGAAAATAAATTGTCATTTTCTTCATGGTCAGATGTGGGCTTCATTCATCACCATCAATTAAACTAACTTTTTTTTTTATTGTTATTATTCTTATATCTCTTAATTTGTTATTTTTATTTTTCACTTTCATATCATATCAGATTAGATGTGTTTAGTTGACAGTTGCTCACTACCAATGTCATATTTTCAAACCAATTAACCGCCAAAATCTTAACCACTTCATCTGCTAAAAACATCAAAAACATCCATATCTACCCACTGCCATTTTTTAAAATAAACCCTCCAAGTGTACAATAAAATTAAACCCCTAAATTCCATCTTTATGTGAGATTTTTATAGTAGGATACAAAAAAAAAAAAAAAAAAAACTGTATTGGTAAACCATACGTCTATTTGATATATACCAAATTTTGTCATTTTGCAAACTTTTTTTATGTGATTTTAGTCAAGTTTAACTCAAATTTAACTTTACGTAATAATAAGGTATAAAATCCATTATATGATGAAATTTCTCAATAATGAGTAGTAATATATTCTTATTTAAGCCATACTAAAAATCAAATGGTTTCTCGAAGATCATTCTCAGGGTCCCATGGTTTCCAGCACAATAGGCAAACCACGAATTGATGCCACAACGACTTCTTTTTTGTCAAAATAATGTCATGGAAAAAAAAAAGCAATATTAATTTCCATGTACTAAATTTGGACTAAAGATAAGCATGAATAAATCGGTTAATAAATTCAAAACCAAGTAATTCCATAATCATTTATCCATAATTAAGCAACCAACTAAAAAACGTACAAGTCCAAACTAATTAAAGAGGTCCCATTTTGTGAACTGGTTTTGCTGTATTTGGACCAATACAATTTTCTTCATGCACCACGATTTCAAAAAAGAAAAAAAAAATGGATTATATAATTCTTGTGGGATAAGTCAGTCCACTGGCGTGTCACAGACACTGACCCAATTATCACCCTGAAAACAGTACCTGAACCATACAATATACTGACCACGTACCCAAAGTCAGATTGTTCCCCTAAAAAAAAAAAAAAAAAAAAAAAAAAAAAAAAAAACTTAAAAAAATTTATATAACAAGTTAGATCTTTATTTATTTTTATTTATTTTTATTTTTTGTTAAGCTAAGAAAGATTATAAGGTTTGTTTAGGCGAAGACTCAAATTCAAAACTTTTCTCTTATTAAAATTTAAATTCAAATTGTTTTTTTTTAAGAGTATTTTTTTCACATAAATTTATTTTTCAATTCAAGTTCTCAATTTCAATTCAAAAAAAAAAACGTACCCTAATTCTGCAACAGTTGGAGGATTTTTTATAGTATATGAAAATAATATGTCTACTAATAAACTATAATTATTAACTGTTAGATCATGTCAGATTAAGAAAAATATAGTATTTTAACGGAATTTAGTACGAAATTTTCATAGTTTAGTACGTATTCAACCAGAAAATTTGCTATTTTAACAAATTAAACTTCAAAAGCATGTAGATTAGCGTTTTTGTTTAAAAGGAGGTAATTTCAAATTTAACCCCTCATAGGTGTTGTCTCCCTTTGCCCTCTTACAGTTTAAAATGATAAAAAAAAAATTATCCTAAACTTCCACTATTGATGTTCATTGGACTTATCAATTTTTCAATACTTTTAATCACGTGAACTCATCGAATAACATGCACATAAATAAATTATTTAAAATATATATATATATATTCTTTACGAGTTTACTCATTCATTTCATTAATTTAAATTATAATACAAATTTTTATTACAATATTCTCTTAAAAAAATTTAAAATTAACTTTTTCTATTATAATATTTTCACGTAAATTTATTTTTTAACTTAAGTCAGTAACGTACATGAACCTTGTAAACTTTCATTGGTATAAAACAATAATAAGTGAGGGCATATTGGTCAATTCAAAAAAGAGCTTTTTGGATATTTAAAATAATAATAAAAAAAGAGAATAAAACAGAGTACTCATTCCCTATGGCGCGGTATTATTGTCCAAACGGCGACTCACGGAATTTAAAACGCAAAACACGAATAACACAAATAACACAAATCCTCTGTTTTCATTTCCTCACAAATTACAACGAAACAAAAAGCTGTTTTCTCTTTTATTTGTAATTTTCTCTCTGCTTTCTGAATCAAAATTTTTTTTCATTTCTCTTCTCTGTCACTCAAAATCTCCAAATTCCTTTCTTCTTTTCTTTTTTCGAATCTCACGTAAGTTTTTCTTCCTTTCAAGTTTTTTTTTTTTTTTTCCTTTTTCATTTTCTCGTGGAGAACATGTAGGAAATGTGCTTCACCATCTCCGATTTGCAGGTAAAATCCAAGCCTGATTTTTCAACTTTTTTTCCCTTTCCTTTTGCTTTCTTCTGGGTTTTGATCTGTTGGGTTTGCTTGAAACTTCGATTTGACGTTCACTTGCATTGGGCTTAGTTATTTACGTAGTTATGGTATCTCCGGGGCTTTTCTTTTTTTTTTTTTTTTTTTTTTCTCTTTCTCGGCAACCAAACAGAACGTAAGTAGATTTTTTTGTTGTCCCATTTTAGCAGAATCTGATCTCATGTTGTAGTTTATCCGAGAGATTAGATCAATTAATTCCTTTTTTTTTTTTCAATTACGTCGACTTTAATTGAAGAAAAAAACTGAGTTTTAATTGATTGTTTGTTGCTTAATTTTGTTACTTCCCACATTAATGAAGCTTTTCTTCAGTTTTTCATTTTGTTTTATTTTAAAATTAAACTATAGTGAATAACTGTCGTTTTATTTCTTCATTTGTATCAATTTACAATTCTACTCATTTCAACAATACTTTTTTGATGAATTCTAGATTATTCTTAAATTTGTCTTTCAGTTGACTTCTTTGATGGCTGTGGCCTATGAATATCAAACAAATTTCAAAAATTGGACCTTGCAGTTATGAAGTTTCTTGGTTATATTTATATATTACAGTAACGTAAAATACCAGAAAACCTTTTCCTTTTGACCAAGTTTTGTTAAAAGAATAATGGGTTTTCTTGTTTGCAGTTTTTTTTTTTATGGCTTGGACAATTTTGAATAGTGAATTGTAAAAGCGGTTTGTGAAGGAGATGAAGGACGAGTCAGCTGGGCTGATTATTGGGATTTCTATTGGGGTGGTGATTGGAGTGGTCTTGGCAATATCTGGATTCTTTTGCATTAGATATCATAGGAAGCGTTCTCAGATTGGGAACAGCAGTTCTAGGAGGGCGGCCACTATTCCGATCCGTGCCAATGGTGTTGACTCTTGCACCATCCTTTCCGACTCGACAATTGGGCCAGAATCTCCTGTGAAATCCGGGAGGAGTGGGGCGTCGTCGTTCTGGCTCGATGGATTCAGGAAGAGTAATGTGGTTTCAGCGTCCGGAATACCCGAGTATTCTTACAAGTAATAACGCAATTGATGGTTCATGCTTCTTGTTTTTGGTTGAGATGTCCTTTTGTTTAGTCATATTTTCTTTATAAGGGACATGTGGGCAGTTGTGTATGACATATGGAATCACTTATGCAACTGAATTTGCATACTTGAGTTCCTGGTCCTTCCTTGCCATTTTAATGGTTTTCACTGAGTATACAAGTAGTTTACCTTTCAATGCGATCATTAATTCTTCGTACTTGTTTATATTTGGTTGAGATGTCTTATCATTGTTATCATCGTGTTCGTTTTGGGGAACATGTGGTCATATGGTTTTAATATGAATCAGTTCCTTGTCCTTCAATTTTAAAGGTTTTGTTTTTGTTGTTACTTGTGTAGGGATCTGCAAAAGGCCACCTACAATTTTACAACTTCAATAGGACAAGGTGCATTTGGTCCTGTATACAAAGCTCAAATGTCAACGGGTGAGACGGTTGCTGTTAAAGTGCTTGCAACCGATTCTAAGCAAGGGGAGAAAGAGTTTCAGACTGAGGTACCAATGGTTAATCCAAGTCTATGACTATTTTTGCACTTCATGACGATTATCGGACTGTATTCAGTTTGCTAGGAGTTTTAGACCATGCTTTCATTTGTGGACTCTGAGGAAATACTGTATTCAGTTTGCTAGGAGTTTTAGACCATGCTTTCATTTGTGGACTCTGATATTTCCTCGCATTTGACATGTCTCTTGTTGCCTTGTTGTCCCATGAAACAAATCTATTTCAAAGGATTTTCCTTATAGAACCCTTTGCCTTCTTTTGTCTCAGGTTATGTTATTAGGGAGGTTGCATCACAGGAACCTTGTAAATTTGATTGGATATTGTGCAGAAAAAGGTCAGCATATGCTTATATACGTCTACATGAGCAAAGGCAGTTTGGCGTCTCATTTGTACAGTAAGATGGCAATGAACTTTTGTTAATCATTCCTGTTCATTTGTATGTATGTATTATGTGTGCTCATATTTGTATGCGTGCATTGCGATGATATACTGAAAGCCTATACAACTGCTATTCCTTTTAGTTTTATTTGTTGCTTTGCATGCTTTTAGTCTTTAGCTAAAAATGTACACGGCATAAATTATGTGATAGATTTTAGCTTTCCTCGTAAAGGTCTTGTAAACCATTGCAGGAAATACTTCTTTGACACTCAACCCTGCTTTATTGAAAAGCTTTAGTTACGGTTCAGTCACCTAATCACTTTGCTATGATGGTGAAATTAACTACAAGTTGTTGATTCCTTAAAAAAATAAATAAATAATAAAATAAAACTACAAAGTTGTTGATTTGAACAAATTTTGTAAGATTAGGAGTAATGAAGTTTAGATAAATCTAAATTTCTTCTTTATACAGGTGAAAACCATGAACCGTTGAGCTGGGATTTGAGGGTCAACATAGCTTTAGATGTAGCAAGGGGTTTGGAGTATCTTCATGATGGGGTAAGCAAATCTCTTTTACCCCAACCAAAGAACTTCTATGCTTCATCCGCATATAAATGCAAGTCAGTGCTTACTTGTCAATTTTATACCTTTTCTTTCAGGCCGTTCCTCCTGTAATACACCGGGATATCAAATCCTCTAATATTCTGCTGGATCAGTCCATGAGAGCCAGGGTATGTTCATCAAAAGTTATTTTCAAGATTTAATTGACATTCTTGATTGTGTAAACAAATAGATTGAGCAAACTTCTTCATTTAAGGTACTAGTCCTGATGGAATATTCAAAATTTGATTGTTTGTATCTCTCTACATGCATGTTTCTTAACGGGGTTAGACTACCTCTTTAACTTTCTGTATGTCGTCAAGCAGGTAGCTGATTTTGGTCTTTCAAGAGAAGAGATGGTGAACAAACATGCAGCGAATGTAAGGGGCACTTTTGGTTATCTTGATCCGGAGTACATATCTACAAGGGCTTTCACCAAGAAAAGTGACGTTTACAGCTTTGGAGTTTTGCTCTTTGAACTTATAGCCGGAAGGAATCCTCAGCAGGGACTTATGGAATATGTTGAGCTCGTAAGCATTTGACTTCTCCCTCTCTATCATCATATATTTTAAACGTATTTATGTATGTTTGGACATTTAGCTATCCAAACACAAGTTGGGGGACTAAGCAGGATTGCTTTATTGGTGTACAAAAGCAATTGTCCGTAGTTCAAAACCGATTGAGGCAGCTTATCCAGTAACTTTTATACTCAGAATTCGATAATTAGCTCGTACTAGTAAAAATGGAGTGGTATCTCATAAGAGTGAAAATCGTTGTGTTTTATTGTATGTCCTGTATGATGGATACTATGTTTCCTGAAATGATAAGAGCTTCACAGTTTTATGTCTTACTAAACAGGAAAAGTAAATGTTCTATTTTATTGCAACTCTCATGTATAACATGGATTTCTGACACTAACAACAAGTTCTACGTGACATCTATAGGCTGCAATGAACACAGAGGGGAAAGTAGGATGGGAGGAAATTGTGGATTCACGTTTGGATGGAAAATTCGACATGCAAGAGCTCAATGAAGTGGCAGCCCTTGGATACAAATGTGTCAACCGCGTTCCAAGGAAACGGCCTTCCATGAGGGACATCGTGCAAGTCCTAACAAGGATTCTCAAGTCAAGGCACAACAAGAAGCATCACCACAATTCCTTATCATCCATGACAGATGAAGTTACCATCGACGTCAACCAACCGGAAACCAATTCTCAAGTCCCTGATCACCGAAGAGAGGAGTCTATGGAGAGCACAGCTGACTATGAAGTTTAGATGATGGCGAATTTTCTTTCTTATTTTTTTGTGTTCTTCATTTCTTCATTTGATTTTGAATCTTGGGTTTTCCATGGTTTTGCCTTCTGATACATGTGCAGCTCAAACAAAGGCATAGGACTCGTTAAGGCTCTCGTTTCTGCTCTGAGTGACGTAGGATTCAGATCAGCAAGCTCTCTCTTTAACATTTTGTGTAACATAGTTTTGCCACCTTCCTATTTGTTAGAGTGATAGAAACAGAGTTTGTACATTTGGATACTTTCATACTCAGAAATGGAAAAGTGAAGGAAAAATTTTCTTCTTTTCTTTTCTCCTCTAATTTTCTTCACCGCAAAATGGAAATGTTACCAAACTGAAGGATTAAGAGCCTGTTCGTTTTGCGGGATTAAGTTTTGCGGGTTTTAAGTTAAAAACTTGACGTGAAAAGTGAATTTATGCGAGAGAAAACACCTTAATAAAAAAATTGAATTTAAATTTTTATAAGAGAAAATGTTGTAATAAAAAGTTTTAAGTAGTAATTTAAATTGTAAAACTAACAGGCTCAAGTATTATAAATTAAATGCTACAATAGATTCGAGTCTACGACAAAACAACACGTTCGCGTGGAATATCTTGCCAACTAAACGACATGCAGAAGACAAGACGTTTGATGTTCTCGTGAACGCAAGATGTCGTTTTCATTGCTAAAAAACGACATGTGGTTTACTGTCTTATCCATGACCCATGAGGGTGCTTTGAAGGGAAAGGGATCAATAAAAAAATGTAATCTATTTTTGATCGGTTTGAAAATTTTAGGAGGAACTAAAACCAAATCATATAATCGGTTTGGTTAGTTTAAACTTGCAATTAAAATAAAGACCTTTTCTAATATGTTAACATATTAGTACGTTAAATTTTATGTCTATTAGGTCCGCATAAAATCACGTAAAAATTAAAAAGTACACAGATCTAACGGTTAAAAAAATTTAACTTATTGATACGTCAAGCGTACCAGAAAATCTCTCTTGAAATAAACCTTGACATGTGAAGTATTTGAGTGGATCTTGTAAAAATAACTTGCAGAAAAATGAGTGAAATAGCATAATTGGTAGAGTGGTTAGTAAATTATAATATATATATATATATAT